TCGTAACTAAATATATACACACTAGGGTGTCCAAAAAAAAAAAAAACTTTTTCCACTCGTTAAGCTTCTGCAGTTTTACGCATTTTAACTTCACAAAAGTCATTAATTATTTTTAAGGGTTTCTAAACTTTAGAAAGTCGAATTAGTCTTCGCAGATTTTTTTAAAACTACAATAAATTAAAAAAAAAAAAAAAAAACAATTAAAAATGTAATTATATCAATAAAATTGTGTGAATAACAGGAGAAAAAATTTTATTATATTTTGGCTTCTATTTTTCTTTAATTTTATTAGTCAACATAAATACAGAGTGAGCATACTGATTTTTTAATTTATTTTTTTACACTTGTGATAGTTTTAAAATGATTTAAATATTTTTATCACAAAATTTAATTTTAATTAATACAAAGGAAAATTATTTTTTTGATTAAGATTTTTATATGTTGCTAAAATAATTTTCTTGAGTACTGATAGCCGGTAACGATGATCGTTACTTTACTAGTGATTGAAAAGAATATTTACAGAAATATTTATCTATATCAAAAATAAATAAAATAATAAAAAAAATTATGATGGAGCCGAAACGATTTTTAAAAAAGAATAAAAAATTTCTTTTATAAAATACAATAGATACAATTATAAATCGATCTTACATTGATTTAATTGGTATTGTTTTTATCTTTTTTTTTTTTTATTTTATTTGTTACAAGTCTTTTTTATTACCTCTGATTTTAAATTGAGCGTTTTAGTTGATTTTTGTTAGTTATATTTCAATTATTTATGTTTTCAAGTGGCGGAGCCACGAACACATTTAATATAATTAAATATTAAATAAAATTAAAAATACAGTCGCTTTATAATATATATTTTTTTTACAATAGTATCTTCAGTATATCTATGTACTTATTTATTAATAATAATAAATCTTGTTTTATGTATATATCTTAAACTGTCTCTTTAATTGAATAAGTTTGTTTATAAATAACCGATCGTTCTAGTGCTTAATAATTCCGATGAAAATATTAATAATAAATCTATTTGTATATCCACCTCTAAATATTATTTCTTATTGTATATTTATAGTAAGATTTTAATTAGTACGGGTACTATCTTAAATATTTAGATAATTAAAACCTCTTTAAAAATAAAATAATTGTCGATTAACGTTTTCTTGGGCGTCTGTCAACATTCGAAGGTCACGACGCGTTTCAAGTGTTAATAACCGATAAATTAACCGCGGTAATTCCCTGGTCGACAATTACCACGCTTCCTTTTAATTATTTACTGAACAACGAGCTCTTGTTACTTTGTTGCTCCAAGTTATCGGTGTCGTTTATTATTTACCCAAACATTTATCATTTATCTGTCCATCGAATCGGTCAGTCGTTCGATCCCCGAGGACAATTGGGATAAATAAATAAACAACCAGAATACAAATTGATACCGAAATATTTTGGGTGCAGATAACTGTCTCGGTGATGTTTAGCTCCGTCGAAAAATAATCTGGGTGTCACTTTTAAATATGGCACAATCTTGAGCACCAGAGTCTCTTTATTTATTAACTTCCTCCCGCTTTATTTAACAATAATAAACCAACAAAAGAACTACTGTATCGATTTTAAATCTCATGTGCAAACATTTAAGGTAGTTGTCGTGGTTAAGTCATACCGTCAGAAAATTATAAATTTTTGTATACTTATTAAGGACATGATGATACACAGTAAAAAATTTTGCGTCAATGCGTCAAAAAATTTTGTGTTAAAAATACAATAAATGTTCAATAGCGTCAAAAAATTTTGTGTTAAAAATACAATAAATGTTAAATTTACACATAAAAGTGTTAAATATTTAACACAAAAATTTTTAACACCAAATTTTTTGACGCAATGACGCAAAATTTTTTACTGTGTACAATTAATTACCCATACGGGGGAACACCACTGTGACGTTCATTAAAAAAGGTGATTTTCGGGAATTTTTTTGATAGGGAAAATAAAGGAATTTGGGGATCGGATTTTTTTTATTTTATTGACGGTACTCAGTAAAAAATTTTCGTCAAATTTAACATAAATTTTTGTGTTACTGACTGTTTTTACACAAACTAATATTAATTCTAGTGTGTTAAATTAACACATGAGAATGTAAAATTCTACACACTAGAGTATAATATTCTACACAAAAATTTTTACACTTTACACAATGACGAAAAATTTTTTACTGTGTACATTAAAAATTATAACAATCAATTTTTATTAAAAAATATTTTATTATTACAAAGTTATTAACACTCTCGTAGAGCACTAGAAAAAATTTCCTACTCTATGGTCGCATCGATAACTCAAAAACGGATCATCTGAAAATAAAAACCCAAATTGCTTTTTAAGCAGTAAGGATGTAGTTATCGTTGCACGCCCGGAATTTTGAAAATTTTAATTTGTAAAAAAATGGCGACTGATTGGCAACTTTCTCATTATTTTTACTGAATTTTTTTGTTTTAACCCGGCTAAAAAGTTCTTTAAAATTAAAATTTTTAGAATTCCATACGTGCAACGATAACTACATCCTTACTCATCCGGAACCAAAATTTTTTTTGTACGGGATGTAAAATTTAAAAGCCCTTAGAATTCAAGTCCGATAAAATAAGAAATTTTCTACAATTTTCTGGAATTCGACAAATTTTTTATTAATTCTGGCCTTTTTTTACATAAAAATTCAACTAAATTTCGATACTGCAATTTTTATAGAATCGTTTCAAAAAATTTTCATTATTATTTCACTAGTGAATCATAATCATAATTTAATTGTTAAAGAAGAACATTTATCGATCAATAGCGAATTGCAAATCTATATTCTGGAAATAAAGATCAATATTTTCAACTTCTTGATTCTGTTATTCATTTTTTATAATATCTTATTGTCGTATTATTTTATCTTTTCTAAATATTTGCCTATAAATTCTCGGCCGAATTTTTTTAATAATTTTAAAATGATTATCTGAAACAAAATTAAAATTTTGACGATAATATTTTATCTGAATCGAGCAGTTTCTTGCAGTGTATCATTCATTTCTCTTTAATTCAAATTCCTGTCAAACAACTTTAATTTCATATTAAGGGGGTATTCTGGTCTAGAAGCATGAAATTTCAGGTAATTTTTAAAGTGCCGTAAAAAAAAGGAAATATTTTTACCATCCATTTTTTTATAAGTTATTTATTAATATTATAAGAATACAGAAAAAAATAAAGAAATGAAAATTCAAAAAATTAGCAGCTGATGAAGTCGGGGTGTCTCAAAAAATTGGCACGTGACGATACTCACGATTCCAACCCTCCTAGCAATCGGAAACAAAAAAATAAAAAAGATTATTAATCTATAGTAATGTCGCTATGGTCGGAACTACGGTCATCCCCAAATTTCAATTTTTACTATTTTTAAAAAATTCGAAAAAGTCAAAAAAAGTAGTACGAAAAATATTTTTTTTTTCAGGCAGTCGCCATTTTGTGAAAAAATTTTTTTTCACCTTTTCCCTAGTTCATGCCATAGCGACGTTACTCCAGATTAATAATCTTTTTTATTTTTTTATTTCGGATTGCTAGGAGGGTTGGAATCGTGGGCATGGTCACATGCCAATTTTTTGAGACTCCACTTCATCAGCTCCTAATTTTTTGAATTTTCAACTTTTTTCATTTTTTTCTGTATTCGTGTAATGTTAATAAATAATTTATAAAAAAAATGGATACTAGAGATATTGATTGCCTTTTTTTTACGGCACTTCAAAAAATTACCTGAAATTCATGCTTCTGGACTAGAATACCCCCTTAATAAAATAACAAAAATCCGATCCCCAAATTCCTTTATTTTCCCTTCCAAAAAAATTCCCAAAAATCACCTTTTTTTCGACCGTCACAGTGGTGTTTCCCCTTAAAATTTGAAGTCGATTGACCACCCAAGATGAATTCAATTAAATATTAGATAGTTAGCATTGATTGCATACGCTCTCTGCAGTTCTATACCAGTTTCTTAGTTATAAAAAAAACTATCTGTCAGAAACTTTAAAAAAACTGACAATCTTTTAATGCATTTGTTGAGTTTAAAAAAAAATTTTTGCGGCGCGTATAATCTCTAATTTTTTGACAATATTGTACCATAACAACTACCTTAAACAGCCGACTCATTACTTGTAATAATAATCGTCGACAAGCAAGCATATTACGGCATTAGTCCAAAAAATATTCATCTAATTATTTACTTGGTTAATTTACTAATTGGATAATCGAGTCCCGATTATTACTCCAATTAACTCTACATTAAACTATTGCTCGATAATTTGAAATACATTCACCCGTTTATTTGTTTTTTTATATATATATATATTTTTTTTTTTTAAATAATCTCTTTATATTTATTTGTTCTTCTATGGTACAATATATCTAATATACAAATAATAACATTAAAAAACTAATTGTAATTTTTATGGTTGTAATTATTCATGTGTTCATATTTAAATATATTAAGCGTCGTGATTAAGTGGTGCATTAAAACGTCTGTTAAAATAAATAATAATTTATTAATCAATAAATACATAAATGATAAATAATAAAATAAATAAAATTTAAACTATTTAAACATAAATAAATGATTTTACAAATTTAAATAAACAACAATAGTTGTTTTTACATGAACGATATCGTTAGGGACGGCGAGGATTCGTTTTGTTATTTATATTTTATAATATATATTTATGTATATACTTCGTATATAATTGAATTAAAAATAAAAATTTTAACATTTATATTCATATATATATTTTTTTATTTTTATATATATGATTTAGTATTCTTTGTGTTATATTAATATTTTTTATAATTCGATGAACATTGTCGTTAGTATCTTCATGATTAAACCAAGATCCACGTACTCATTATTTTATTAATTATATAATTATTTATAAATATATTAAAGTCATAAATTAGTTCTAATTGTAAGCAATTAACGGAACCGATCAACCTACTTTTATCCACCGATCGATTGAGTACTCGAGCGCAGCCAGCCACCTGAAAAATAATATTTATAATTATGCATAATATTGTTTTTTTTTTCTTAACCTTTTTCTATAATCTAATTATTGCGTCTGCTATTAATAATTATTTAGAGACCTTGTCCATTTATGTTATAAATAGGCATCGATTATAACTTTACGAAGAAAGGGCGGAAAAACGCCTCATAAAGAAATAGTGCAGCTGTGACCGTATTTATGTTAGTACGTATAATCATTAATTATTATACATGACCATGTGTGATATCACATATAAAAATATGTAATTTTACATGTGATCACATATGACATTCTGTAACTCTGTAAATAAAACTAGTTTTCAAAACTTTATGTATCATCGACGATAAAATGTTATATCACACTTGTTATGCTTGTACAATTTCACATATGATCAATGATCACATGATATGTTATTTTGTATGTCAAGCTCTGGTTACGAATTTCATTTCATCGATATTCAGTTACACCACTGAGAATTTTGTCTGATTACATAGAAGATGTGTGACTTTACATATGTTCAAAAATGGTTACATATGATTTTTTGTGTAAAGAAATAGTAGCAGAATCAATGTCACATACGATCACATATTAATTTTTATTGGATCACATTAGTATATATGATAATGTATAAGTCCACATATGATCACTTATATATGGGTTCATTTGTGACGTGTTTGACATAGACTAAACTTTATAAGTGATTTGATATGACTTCATATAGTCACATACAGTCACACATGATCATATACGATCACATGTGACCATCTTTGGTCGCATATGATTAAATGTACGATCATATATGGTCACACGTGATCACAAATGATCACCTAGATCCACTCATGGTCACATATGGTTAGATATATGATCATACATAGTAATTTATGATGATATAACATATGATCAGTGATCACATATAACCACTTATTGTAATGTATGGTGATTTATATGCACATATATGGTTACCTATGATCATATATGATCACTTATGACCATCTTTGGTCGCATATGATCAAATGTACGATCATACATGGTCACATGTGATCACATAGATCCACTCATGGTCACATATGGTGAGATATATGAAGATACATAGTAATTTATGATCACATATAATCAGTGATCACATATGACCACTTATGGTAATGTATGGTGATTTATATGTACATTTATGGTTACTTATGATCATATATGATCATCTTTGGTCTCACATGATCAAGTGTACGATCATACATGGTCACATATGGTTAGATATATGAACATACATAGTAATTTATAATCATATATGATCAGTGATCACATATGACCACTTATGGTAATATATGGTGATTTATATGAACATATATGGTTACTTATGATCACATATGATCACATATGACCATCTTTGGTCGCATATGATCAAATGTACGATCATACATGGTCACATGTGATCACATAGATCCGCTCATGGTCACATATGGTGAGATATATGAAGATACATAGTAATTTATGATCACATATAATCAGTGATCACATATGACCACTTATGGTAATGTATGGTGATTTATATATACATATATGGTTACTTATGATCACATATGGTCACGCATAATCAACTTTCTCAACCCTTATCGATAATTATAAATTTCCTATGAATACAATAGATTTATACCTTTTTTTGTCCATTTCGGTTTCGGTAGCAAAAGTGTAGCTCCTTTGGGTAGGATCGGGTGGCTGCAATTCGAAAGCATGTTTGCGGCCGCCTCCGTGGGACGCGCTGCCGTGGACCTTGAATCCATGAAGACAAGCAACTCCAAAAGCCTTTTCCGCATTAGCGTCATCGTAGAAGTATAGTGCAGCATCTTTCAGAACACAGTACCTCCTGGACCATCCAGTGGGTGACGAGGTCTTCTTCGCGCGGTCTTGCTGCTTGCTCAGGTAGCCAAAGCAGTCCGGCCGCTGGATTGAACAGGCTGGCAACTGCTGCATTCGCACCGAAGCATCTAACCATGTATCCGCCTGTTAAAATTAAAGAATAAAAGTAAATATTTATATTTTTTCTTAAGTCCTTGAAGTTTTTTTTTTTTAGCTCATTAGAACACTCGTATTTATATGCTATAAGCTATAATTAAATCATGGCAGTTAAAATTAACAATCACAATTAGAACCAGCAATTAATTTCTAAAAGTCGACCCGTTGTAATTCACAATTCTATTATATCGACTTTTCACTGTGGGAAGTGAAAATAAAATTATATTCATGCTTCCACTATTGGTTTCAAGTGACTAGAACGCTTGTTCTAGTAAATTGTTTTTAAGGTCAATGCGGTTCCGTCTGCAACAATGACCGAAGTAGACCTCGTTTTATTTTCCGACTAAAATACAACTCAAAGGGGAAAAGTGCAATTGTATTGTAATATGTTTTTCTCTGTTGACACATGCAATCTCTGATAAATTTTTTTTTTCTAAATGTATATTTGATTTTTTTCTAAATCGTAAGCTTTGGGCAGAAAGTTTGATGATTTAAAAAAATTTTTTTCTAATCTTTTAGATTAGTTAGGAGTGCTTAACATTTTACAATGTACGATTCTTTACCTGATTATTTCTTTCAACAGCCTCCTTGATAACAGTGATCCAATTTTGCATCATTTCTTCGCTATCAGCAGCCAAATGATGCGAGGGTGCTCCAAGTTTCCTAATCGCAAAACTGAAATTCCTCAATTCAGGGGTAGCTTCGACATCGTATTTCAAGAGCATGACTGCTCCAACCGGCTGAGCATCCTGAAATCAAAATCAAAACATCAATCATCAAGTTATCATCAGTTTCTTCAGTTTTTAACCATCCTTACCGAATCAGTCTTGTAGTAGTAAAGGCAATTATCACGACGCAAAGCGAACCACCTTCGGACCCACTTATCAGTGGCAATACCCGCAGGATTCACGGTGGTGGCACGTCTCCACAAGTACCCCGAGTAAACAGCAACGTCTCCAGATTCCTTTGGACTTCGGGCTACTCTTGGGGCCAGGACATTGCAAGTTCTTGCTACCTCTAGTTCCAGGACATCTGGTCCAGAATGTGCCAATCTTACCACTTCTGAGTGGGTTGCATCCATCACACTCCTTCCGTTTACTGACATGATGATATCACCCACCTCCAGACCAGAGCTTTCTGCTGGAGTATCTGGCTCAATTGCGGACACTACCACGGGTTTGGAACCATGGATGCGGAACCCAAATTCGCCTCCGGCTTCTCGTTTTACAATCACTGTTTTGTCGCTCTCTGCAACAGATATTTTCATATGTTTAGCGAATTCGAATCTGAACGTGTATGCCCTCAAGTATTATAGTGTTCCGAGTATTTTTATAAATAATACTTAATAACCTAAAAATATACCGAAATAGGCGACAGTAAATTTTATTTTTCATATTTACAATGACGAAATAAAATTTTCTTTTATGAATATTTTTAGTTAATTTGAAAAAAATGTTTTTTATACTCTTTTAACATAATCTGAATTTGCACGGCTCATAATGTTTTTTTTTTTTTTTAGATTTTCTGCATATAGTCGGTTTAAGATTTAAGGATTATAAATAAACGGACAAGATTTAGGTGATGATTTTTAGAAGGATGCTTGACATTGATAGTCCAAGGCTAGTAAAAAAAATCAGGTCAATCGATCCCATTTTTGTAAGTTATTGAGATTACCAAGCTTCGTATGGACATCATTTATTATAAAAATTAGAATTAAAATCAATTATCGTATTAATTAATTATCGTATTACAGAAGGAATCAATTTTTCAGACTACGAATTTTTATTTACTGAACAGGAATTGCCTGACAAAGGGGAAGATGGCTCATCAGGGTCGACTTATAACATTAAATTCTCCGCGCTTTTGGGCGGTAGCTGTCAATCATCCGACGACTGCTTATCAACACCGTTTTCGAACTGCACCAACGGAACCTGCTCCTGCAAGGACAATTACATTCTCCATGATGGAGTTTGCTATGGTCTGCCTAACACTTAATGTCATGAACATAAAGATTGTGTCACGACATCCTACCACTGCAAGGAAGGAACTTGTCAGGAGGCAATTTATTTCGTGGTTAATGATCAACAACAAAAACAAAAACTACTGTCATTAAAACCGGGAGGTAAGTTGCTCCATTGATTCATTAGCTGATATTTTAATGGCTTTTTTCTGACAGCTACTTCCTACTGGACTCCAGTAGGTGAAAATGGAACAAAATTAGAAGACAGTGTCGTCATCAGAAAGGATGCAAATGGTTCCCTTAGGTATATTCAGTGGGTTATTGGTTTTAATAAGATTATTGTAAATAAAAATGTATACTGTATGACTTTGATGGCCTTGAGGGAACCCAGGCTCTAAGGTCAAATAAATCACTTCATCTATCTATCTTTCTATCTAAAAGCTCAAAATATATAAAAACTTTCATGTTTTGAATCTCATTTCGAAAATGTTCCGGAGGAGTTCCGAAGAAATTCCGGAGAAGTTCCTAAAAAATTTTAAGAATTTGAAATTTTTGGTTACTCAAAAGTTGGTAAGTAAATTTTTTAATTCTGTTCTTAAAGTTCCAGAACTGTTCCGTAAATGTTACGCATGACATTTTAGAGGTAACAAACGAATTTGAACGCTGAGAAAAGTATGAGAACCTATTCTGGTCTTGTTTTTCAAAATGTTCCAGAAAAGTTCCTGAGAATTTTTTATTTAATTATATATTCCTTGCAATAAAATTTAAAGTTTTTTATTCACCTAAAAGTGTGCTAGTAATATTAAAGAACAACTCTCAAAATGTTCCGGAAATATTCCGCAAATGTTCCGTGGAAAACTTTGGGGCTTTTTGTCGATCTAAGAGCTTAAAATATCTGAAAATTTTCATGTTTTAAATCTCATTTCGAAAATGTTCCGGAGAAGTTCCGGATCGTCTCACAATCGGAACTTTTCTTAGGAATGTTTTTGGAACTTTTTTTTTTACACGGGTAGCGACTGACCATTGTTTATGAATTACGATAATATTTTATGAAAAAAACAATAATTTTTTTCATCATTGCATTTAAGAAGGTTTAACTAATCACTAAAAAATTCAGCCTGAAAAAATAATTTGCATTTATAATTATATAGAAGTCAAAAGTTCATGCTTGTTTTTAAGCCAAAAAAAAAAAACCCATTTTCCAATCTTCTATTGTTTATATTTTTTTCCAAAAATGTTTTATCATTTAGCAATTTTGGATAGAGCTAGGAGAAATTTTGACTGATCGATCTATATATTATCATACTTCAATGGGATTTTTTAAATTGTAAGTTACGTTTTAAATAAATGGCGTCTTTTTTTTTACCATTAGTAGGTCGTGATCGCTTTTACTCGTAATCACTTGAACATTGGACTCTAAGCAATCTCTTTAAGCAATAGCAGCCGCAGACGTTTTTTCTGACACGTGCAAAGTAGTTTTAGTCTGTAGTAGTAAATATTTACTAAAGAGTCACTTTAAACTTTAAAGTTTAGAGTCGGTCGGTGAAAAACATGCAAGCAAGGTCGAGGCTCCGACAATTTGCCAAATTCCTGTATCTAGCGATCAACATTGTCTAAGCCATGAGTAATTAACTACACACAAAGTGACCTCAAGAAAGTTTGGCGAGATGTTTGTGACCAAAAGTTGAAAATACCACCAAATAGTTTAACTAAAAAATTTATTTGTTTTAAAACAAATTAAAATGGTTAATGATTCCTTTGATTTGACTGCATTTTGCGTACCTATTTCACAGAAGAGTTTGCGTATCTATCTTCAGTATTTTATTTTATTCGTTTTTGATCGTCTCCAAGCAAACTTTAGTTAACTGTTATCGTTCGGACATTTAGAGTCAAAACTTTTGAAAACATTAGAATAAATCTTCTCTTTCTGTGATAATATTATTTCGATAAATTTTCGATCAAAAACAGTAGAAAATTTTGAAAACAAAACAGTAAGTTCAAGTACGATTAATCAAACAAAAACAGTAAAATTTTTCGAAGTTTAACTACAGATTAACAACTCAAATTCAGATCAGAACATATATATAATTTTTTTCTGAGCAGAAATTAATTTCCAAAAATATTAATTGACATTTTAAGTGAAAATAATATAGGCCAAATATTTACCAGGTTCTGGAGCACCTAGCTTTGTAAGGGCTTGTCCTTCGCGGCACCAAACTCTGAGCATGCACTTCAAGAGTTCCTCCAGGGAACTCTTCAGCGAAACGTCTTCTCCTAATTCCGCGGGGTATCCTCCGGCAGCATCGCAAACCATTTTGTCAATTTGCGGGTTCGCGGGCACAAACACTCGCGTTTGTCAATCAATTTTCAATTATTAATTAATTATACGAGCTGATAATGACTGACGATAAGCTAAGAAGTGACTAGAATGCTCGAGATATCGTGATTGTCAGGCAACGGCCTCATGGAATGTGTAGCTTACCGCCCTGACCCACTGACTAGAGTCTAGCGCCAAAAGCTCTTTGGCCTGAGATCACCCCTGCACCCCGTCAGCACAAATCCACTCTTTATCTCTATCTTTCTCTCTTTCAGCTTACTCCTTCTTATCTGTATAACATTCAACACATATGCATCTGTATTATATTGGGTATAGGTATACCAGCCACGACCCTACCAAACCCTACCTCAGTGTACCGACGGAGACGCCCTCTCAAAATATAACGAGTTATAACAGAGACAAAAATGTGCTATGTATATATATATATATATGTATAACAATTTCAAACAGTCACAGACCAGCGGGTTTATATTTAGTCATGTATTACGCGAATACTATTTTAAGATAACTCTTACACTTATAACTGTTACACATGACACATAGAATGTAGTATGTAGTACAGAACCGGCATTTTTATACTTTGTAATTATTATTAGTTTTTTTATTCGGTGAACGGAGAACATCAACATCCGAAAGACACATATGTATTTTATCGTGAAATTTCGCAGATGCCATTTGCCAGTTAAGCTTTTTTTATTTTTGTAGATATGCTAACAGACGAAAATCACGCGGATTTACATTTTTAGATTGCATATTTTAATTTATATAGTGGTATTTAATTAGAAGATATGATTTCTTTGTGCCAGAAGTTTGTTAATTATTTTAAAAATGATTTTTTACGTTTGTATTGCATTTTTAGGTATTTATGATTTGAGGAGTAGAAAAAATTATTGTTACAAATTTTAAGTACGATTTTCTCAGCAACGATTTTTAATTACACAATAATTTTAATATAAACATTTCTGTTATGATTTTTACAGAGAATTCCTTCACAAATATTTTTATAGAAAAATCTAAATAGCAAAAATGTTGATATCCGGAAATTTTTGTTACGATATTCAAGGTGACATTTTTGATGGAAATTTTTCTCTTAAAAAATTTTGGGATAAAAATATTTTGTATAAAATTTCGCTTCCCATAATAAAAAGCTTTTTTTAGAAAAATTTTATGCTACAATTTTTGATATTAAAAATTTTTAACGATACTGTAAAAAATATTTTTTTTTCATTGACAAATTTTTGAACTGTTTCCAGTCTAAAAATATTGACAAATAATTTTACGATCATATCAATAATTTAAAACTAATTTATCTATAGTAAGATTTGTAAACACGATAGCTATCCATCAAAATTATTTATTATGGGTTCCATACTTTTTTTAATAGGTTCGTATTATCCATAAGAAGATCTATTAAAAGTATGACATGTCTTTTTTATTATTAAAAAAGTATAATGAACTGGAAAAAATTGAATTTTTCAAATATTACTCGCTAAAGTCTTCATAAAACATTAAAAGTTAACCAAAATTGCAGAGAAACTCCTTTAACAATTTCCATAAATGAATTTTACCCGTAATTATCACTGCATAGACATTTCCTTCACAATTATAGCTACAAAGACATTAACTGCACAGTTATAGCGGAAATAATTCTTCCGCAATGCTTGTGCCAAGATTTAAGCTATTCTTTCAGCACATTATTTTCCGCCATACCCGCTGGGATTCCATGTGTAATTCAACATTTAACATTATTTTCGCGAACCTGATTGCTCTAAGTACTAAAAATACGAATAGAACCCTGCAACTATCCCAAAAAAAAGTACCACCTGCCTCGGTAATAAAGAATAAAATTTTTTATAGACACCTAAAGCCTGCAACGCCTACAGAAATCTAGCGATTACAGTATCTGTCGTAACTTTTTACAGCTTACGCAAATATTAATGAAACAATCTGCAGGAAAGCTCAAGAGTTCCTAAAATGTTTTTATAGACCCTAAAGTAAAAAGTTATTTTATGATATTAAAGTTTTACATCATTACAAAAAAAAAAAAATTTAATATGCAGCTTGTAGGAAATGCATGGATCCAAAACGAAGATCTCGAGAATATTCATAGTCATTTATAGCCAACGACTACTTAAAACTGTAACACGAGATGTCGGAATGCACATTAAAGTGTAAAAACAAAAAAAAACCGAGCGAAAGTACTCGAGCTAGTAAAGTGTGTCTTGTGTCATGAAACCGTCCCGTAGACAGCACTGTTTTAGAGTGGTTACACGATTTCTGGATAATAAGATGACGCCTCAGAAAGTTAAAAAAACAACCAAGGTTTGTGAGGCGTGTTTAATTGTGTAAGCGTGCGAATACTGCACACATTTCTTCGCTCACAATGATGTTGGTGTTGCTGATGATGATGAAGATGATGATGATAAAAAGTTAAAAAAGAAAGTGCAAGGGATGCTTGGAACGCGTTTGTAGTTTGCCGTAAGCCAACTGAGACACGACTCGACCGTGATAGAGAGGATTAAAAATAAAACGACCTTCATTTTATTGGTGGAGAAAACGTCAAACGGATTGACGGCCGGGAATGTTAAGCATCTGCTTAAGTGACCCAGATAATGTGTTATACACAATAATGATGATAATTATGTTGATATTGACACGTATCAAAAAATGTTACAACGTTACGTTATCTGGTCTGGGAAAATTTTTCGTAGAAAAATGAATCGTCAATTTCAATCAAAATTGGTATTTTGGCTGCGGGATGAGAGTTATGTCAAAATTAATGAGGACTTGCTCCGCAAGGAATTCAATTTCCGAAGGGATTTGAATCTAAGTCTAATAGTATGTGTTAACATCACACTAGAAGTTCAACTAAGCTCTTACGAAGGCTGCAAGCTAGATTTTAATTGGGCAAGTCATTAAATTTTCAGGTGTGATGAAGAAACATACGTATGTACACGCGAAAAAATAAAAATCTATTAAATTAATGATATTAAAAAGTAATCTGGATGATTTCTTACCGAAACTCTTGCTCTGCATTCGCTTGTACATTTCTCCGCTGCTCTTACGATGTACCATGCGATGAGTAGCTGTCTGGTACTTTTTCCGGAAGTCTTTTTCACTTTGGGTGGATCCTTGTGAGCCTCTGCGGTCTTTTATTGGACCCTCTGATGATTCATCATCTCCATCACGGCTGTCGGGTCGCTTCCAAACATGACTCTCTTCCAGCTCCCCAATGTAGATCCACTCGTTTCCGGTGTAGGGTTCGATGTAAGTGTCTTCGTCTTCTCGGTCTGCAAGCAAATGATTCATCATCCATTAAGACCTCAAGATACTAACAATCTTGACGGATGATTGAAGATGATTGATGAATCACGATAAAAACGTACATGCTAATGTTTCCATACTGACGTCAGTGCTTCTGGCTTGAAGACGTCGTCGAATTCCATCTTCGATAGAGCCTCTGCTGGAGGGACGACTTCCGCGTTCCTCGGATTTGGCTCGAACGTCTGACCTTCCGTTGTTTCGATGATACCTTCGCTCGCCACGGTCTTCTGATCTGTATCGCTTGTCGAGCTTTTTATACAACCTGTGCCCGGAATGCTTGGCAATAATTCGCGGACCTTCTGGTGAGTCCGCGAATCCAGCGGGTGGTTGGACTATTTCTTCGGTGACCTGGAACCGATTGTGATTGGTCGAATTTTTGGGATTATCTTTGAAAAGTGAGCCAACCTCCTTTCCACAACTATGGCAGTGGGAAGTGTCGTGGTGGGCAGCACACAGATCAGCACTTTCACTGTAGAATACACTATCGCTTCCGGGACTGACAGACCGCAACGATTCTGCTGACAACGCTTTTAACCTGGTCTCCAAACACGACGGAGACTTTACAATCACTGTGGTGTGTCCATTGTGGCCTGGACTGCGGTACCTGCTTCCTGGGCTGAGTCGATTTGAGCAGTCTTCAATCGGTCGAGATCTACGCCTGGGTAAGCTACCAGTGAATGCTGCGTTTTTGTCCTGTAATTGAGTCATCAATGGTACCACAATTACGTAAAGATTGCTCTTTTGCGATACTAAGATAAAGAGTACTTCTTTTATCACAACTATAGACGTACCTCATTGCTTCGTCGACGGGTTGAAACGTATCCACTAGTTTTTCTTCGTGGACTCTCCCTGGTCCTGCGATGACGTTCCATATTGTCTCTGTGTACATGATGATGATGGTGATGCATGTGATAGTGATGGCTACAACTAGAATCATCTGACGTTGGAATTTGGACCGGGTCATCTCCAATCTCTCTGTTCCACTCTTCCTTTTGAGGACTTCTAGATAAAGCAGAAATTGGAGACTGCGGGTCCCGCTTCTTGTTATTCCTGTACGGAGACCTTCCGGCGTTAACTTTCGTACGTGGACGATGTCGGTGGCTGGGAGTTGGACTGACATCTGGATCCAACAGCAGCTCTGCTCGGTCTGAATGATGGCTGTGGTCTTCCAGTCCAGTCGGAAACTCAAGGACAAATGATCTCCGCCTTGGCTCGTCTGTCCAGGTGTGAGGTTCCGGAGGCGATTCAACGTAACCAGATGATAGTCGCCTCTCTGATGCTCTGTTATACTGAAACGTTAAAATGACAGTTTAAGAAATGGAAACTCTACTTTTCTGAGTAATTAGGGTATAAATATTCAGAATACGTACGTCGTGATCCAATTCAGCTTCAGAGGCATGTCCGCTCAGTGGAGCCATTGTAAATTCAGGGCAAGGATCCGGCATAGCATCTTCAAGATCGTAGCTGCCAGAACTGCTACTGCTGGAAGATCTCGCGGGTGAGGGCGGGACTAGGTCTGCTAGGTCAAATGGCATCTCTATTTCTTCGAAGATAGCCTGGGGACTCGGTGGTAGTTCTTCTAAGACCGCCTGTATTATTTTTAGTGATATTATGACATACACAATTCAATAACGCATCTAATATTCATAAGAAAACATTATGGTATGTTTATAAAAAGCTTAGAACCGTATATGAATGTAGTTTAAAAAAAGTGCCTTGAGGGTGAGCGTGTTATGAATGATTGAGGTGTTTGCACAGAAAAAGGGGATGATTCTACAAAATAATGGAGAAGCATAGAAAACATAATAAATGAACCTAGCCCGGCTCAAGATTTTTATCATCCACACATCTTGAGAGAGAAGAAAGGAGGATCTGTTCTCTTTCCATCATCATCATCATATATTGAATAGTGAATATTATATCTTACCTCGCTTCTGGCAAGGCTATAAATTGAGCTAGCACTTTCAAATGAGCTACCGTCAGCAGCTGTAGCAGTTGTAGAAGCGGGAGCAGACGCCGCAGCACTTGACGACGCATGGTACCCACTAGGTCGTGACCATGAACTGATGGTAGCTGATGTTCCGGTGGTGGTTCCTGTGCCAGTTGAGGTGTTGGCAGTGACGTAGTCTTCTGTAGTTGAGGCTTCCGAGCGATCGGTGGTATCTGTTCTACCGGAATCTGTGCGACCGATGCTCAGAGCCAGCTCACTTGATGACTGTGATTGTGGCAAGGAGTAGGGAGGCCCAGGACTACGTCGTCGAAGGCCACTTCGTGGACGTCCATTGGTCAACAGCGGCTCACTATCGGAAAAAAATCGATAATGGGAGATTACATTATTAAATAACCAATAAGTGGATGATGCCTTACCTGGGGGTATGGACAATCAATGGTGGTTCCAGAAGAATCCTTGGACTGGGAGGACAGATTTCGATGTCATCTTCCACGTCCAGGGTCTCAGTGTCCATAGAAGACCGCTGCTGATGCTGGAGTAGTAGCAAATGCCTTCTACGAGACGAAGGAGTGAGAAGAGCGAGAGTGTCTGCTTGAAGCACTGTTGCTTGAGATTCGTTCCAAATCCCGTCGCTGTGGTCCTTGGTGACGTCGTTATTCAACGAGTCACTTGATGCAAATGGAGAAGTAATTGGTCCAACTATTGGGCATGTTCTTAAGAAACTAGGTCGGCGTATTTCATAACGCGGAGTTTCTTCGACTTTTCGGATTCTCGGAATAGCAGTCGGCGAGGTCGGGGAGGTAGGAAGCGATCGGGGTAGATTGAAATCACTGGAAGCAAGATCTTGAACGCCGTCTTCCAGTGAGACACTTCTTTTACGAAATAGTCCTCGGCGAATGATATTCTCGTGGAATTCCTGGAATTTATTAGAACATAACATACTTGAGTTAGCATGACATAATATCGATTGGATTGGGATAAAGAATTTCGTCACCTCTTCGTGATTATCATCTTGAGGGGATTGAGTGCGTAGAAGCGATAAATCATCAGGCGTAGATGAAAATTGGACGGGTGGCCTGATGTTGCGACTCCATGGGTCGTTATAATTACGACGACAAGTGTGAGGATAGCTTGGCGCTCCGGCTTCGTCAATTAATTCGCGTCTCTCTATTTGGATTTCCCCATCAGAGAACGTTTTCTGGAGAGTAATAGGCCTCCGCCAGACCAACGGCATCTGTTTTAGCATCGCACGTGCATCTGGGGAAACCGGCGCTGGTTTAAAATCAATCAAAATTTCCTCCTCTTCCTTCGAGAGCCGCTTCCCCGTGAGCTCCAGGTCACCGTTTACCAGTGAACCGTTGCCCAGTTGGTCTCTGGCTGGTGACTTTGGCGGCGAGTCGATGAGAAACGGAGATTTCGGTGGCTCTTCACTCTGTGTCCTCTGCAAAGGTTCATGCTCGACTGGCTCCTCCTTATTGGTCCCATTAGTGCCTAGAGGCGCGCCAAATTGGCCAGCTTCCGAATAGCTCTTGGTCAATTTCCTGCCGTTGATTATCCCGTTGGTCTGGGCGCCCTGGGACACCATCTTCACTCGATGTATCGTCCTAGGACTAAGTGTCACCGGAGGCTCTCGTCTCAACCCCGTTGGCAATTCTGTTTGCGTAGCCTGAGTTTTCATAACGCCCCGCTTGTTTTTTTCTGCAATCAACGGTTTAATTAAAGCATAATCCAGGTTTATTTCCGCGGACAAACATTACCTAGGATAAGTATTTTAGGTTCCGGAGGTGGGTAAGGGTGGATCATTCCCGCTGGTGGACACGCTTGCGCAGTCGGCTGAGTATCAATCAGACGTTCCTGAGCGTGTGGTCTCGGTGGACTTTTGCTACGTGATGCAATCTCAAATGATGTTAACGTATGTGAACGAGCAAAGCTTACGTGCTTCGGCTTGTGGATGCCATGTGGTTGGTTTATCGCTGTCAATACCGATCTTGGGCCTTCCAATCGCATCGACTCCTCGTCTTCCTGCAGCCATGTGTATCTGCCAAAAAAACGGCACACTGCATCACTACCCTAGCTTTAATAAATAAATAAAACTAAGCTCCGTCCTCATCCCCATCGCCATTTCCAATAGATCTTTGTACTTATTTACCGTGTTAAATTGTCTGGCAGCATGTCTGTGTATGTACGTGTGAACTAGACAAAGTATCGCGGAAAGAGGAATAGGAAAAAAAGAATTATGTCTGTTGTATCACTTTCCAGCCTCACTTACTTCAGTATCCCTGCTATTAAGACTCACCCTACAATGTGATGAATGGCATTATCTTGAATTGAAAACGCAAACTTGTTTTTCAATACCAATATGATACTACGGAAACAACCGGGTATAAACGATGCGTGCCATTGGGCACGATCGAACAGAAGAAAAATATGTACGGGACAATAGAATATCATGCAACAGTGAATGTATGATGACAACCCTCCTGTAAATTGACCGAAGGTTGAGTGTCTAAAGCTTCTCCCGACAATTCTCTCTCTGATTTATTTTTTTCTACAAACTTACAGCTACTGAATAACAATATCCTGGAAAACAAAAGTAGGTTACCTTTTCGGATCAGCAATAGTGCAGAAAGACGTAGGACGCCTTCGAAAGTACGAAGTATTGACCCACTCATCATCATCCAGATCGTAGCGAGTGATTCCTCGGTGGTATGACGGATAAGGCTGCTGGTAAAATATCTGAAAAGGTTTCCGTGGGTACGGTGCGTCACACAGATTTTCATCACTTGACGCACTTCGGACACACGCTGACAAGATTGAAACCCTGGTGGCCGTGCAGGGTGATAGACCCTTGGCCGAGAGACAACCGAAGATTCCACCGCTGGATTTCTCAACTGCGTCCAATTGGCGGCTCGTTATGCAGTACTGCTCTTTGAAGTCTTCTCTCGAGTACAAAGGAGTCGCCCGTCTGTCCCAGTCGTGGATCATCGCTGAATTGAGGTCAACTTGGGTCGAAACGTCAACCTGGACATTAAAATATTTTGAGAGGAGGAGTTACAAGGAATGGGTAGGTTTTGAACGAGGGTCAGACGCGCGAGTAATCATTCGAGAAACACACGATCCACCCTCGTCGCTTATCACAACAATGGGCTTTGACCCGTGAGGATAAATTTAGCAGCTCGTTTGTCGAACCTTCAGTGCTTATATTTACAGGTCATTTCGCCCAGCAAAACAAACTAATTTCTCGGATTATCAACTTTGGAAAAAGAAAAAAAGATTAGACTTAAGAAATACTTAGTGATTAAGCAGACCTGTGGATTGCTAGAGAGATAAACGCCGGATGAGGTGTTGGAGCTGGAGTTGAATGAATCTTGGAGACTTCTTGGGTCCATGGCGATTTCAGAGGCCGGTGAACCGGCGCCTCGGTAAATGCGTGCTCTACCCATGGGTGTTCTTATGGCTGCTGATGAGACACCAGCCATCCCTTATTGAATAATTATTTCCAATTAAAAGCCGCACCCGCTTTAATCGTGGACTCCTTGAGCTTATCGATCGGAGATAAGGAAAAGTGGGTAAGTATGTAATTATGGAAGATGAGTGATGATGATAATGATAACGATGATGTTTGATGATAGATTTGTAAAGGCGGAAATTGGGCTGCTTAATAGCAATGAGTCCAGTTATTTATATTAGTCGCCACCCTCACACTCATCTTCGCCTAGGACAGCACCCAGGCCACTCAATCAAAAAATACACTGTTACGTTTCACATCCTCGAGCTGGAGCTTTCACTTAATCGATGACGGCGCAGGATAATTTTTGTCAATTTTATAAATTTTACACGGACGGATATGGATTTTTTAGTTAATTCACTTCGGATTCGTTCCGTTGTTTACTTGGAAGGACATTGCTACCCGTCGTTGTCGCTCAAACGAGCAAGCTTTCGCCCAGTGAAGCAACTTTAGTTTTACTTATCGAAAATATATATTTTATTGAGAAAAACTAGGGATCCGCGACCAGGAACGACCACGGGCGGCGTCCTCAACGCGCGCCCTGACGCCTACTCTCTCTCACGCGCGCGAAATAAAAGTGGGGCAAGACATCTCGGGGATTACTGCTACTGCTGCTGCATATCCGAGGGATGTTCACCCACCGAGGGATGAGGAATTGTCGTGTTTTTTTGCTGGGTGGGGAGAGTCGATGGATAGAGCGCAGGGTTTCATCCGATGCGCGCGCGCTGGTCCAGCCGTTATCACTTACCACTGAGGAAGTTACTCGTAGCGGAACCTGTTGCGGACGCTGAGAACTAGGGTCAGCGATTAATAAGTTGACGGCTGTTCGTCGTAACGACTGTAAAGAATATTATCACTTGATGGGAAGTAATAAGAGATTTCTGCAGTACCAGTGATGCAAAATCGTCATTTCGGTGGTTTTTCAATAAGACATTTCAATTCTAAAGGTATCATGTTAGCTATAGGTATGGCAAACATTACGTAAAGCTACGAACGAAATAAGACATCAAGTTGACGGCTACAGTACAACAACAGTTGTACTTAGGAATTAATTAACATCAACTCAGATGAGAAACTTTATGTTTATTTCTGGCAGTAGCTTAACGCTAACTTACTGAGTAAGTTGAAGTCATATTGTTGCAAGTTCTAAAGTTGACGCGAAGCTTACGTATATAAGCTTGACGAAAAAATTGAACATATATACTCTTTATATTGTATTTAATAAAGCTGGACTAAAAAGATTGATCTGTTTAGCCTAAACAATCTGTAATTGAACTAGCTGTTCTGCTTTTAAATTTTATACAGTTTGATCGAAAATTTATCGAAATAGTGTTATCACCGAAGATAAAGATAAGATTAATTAAGGTATAGGAAACAGAAAAAAATAACTTTTGAGAAAAAATAGCGTTCTTGTTACAAGAATTTTAATTGTTAGAAATTTTCAACAATTTTCTTCTTCAGCTGAAAAAATCACATTTTTCTTTTTTTTTTTTTTTTTAATCCATTTTTTTTCTCCTATACAGAAAAATAAATATATTTAATCGATTTCACTAATTTGATGCTCTTGAATGAAATACTTATTGATTTTCTTTCAAATTGTTTTTTTTTTCTGGTATTAGAAAAACTTTATTTTCCAAAAAAAAAAAAATATGATATCTTCAGCTAATAAACAAAAGTGTTCAAAATTTCCATCAACTTAAATTTTTTTTACAAGAGTGCTCTTTTTTCTCAATATTACTTTTTTCTCTCAGCGAATAGCATGTAAAAATAGATGAAAATATGTTTTAAAAAAGGGATACGAAATGAAGTTAAATTAAATAAACTATTAAAAATTTCTATTTATTTTAAAAAGGATTAAATCATTTAACTCAGAATTACATCTAATCAAACATCAATAGATATGCTTCTATGCGATTTAATCTAAGAGGGATAAAATATTGGTGCTGATGTTGTAGTGGGAATTTCTTTCTCAACTAACACTTCAAACTGCGTGGTATTTGAAGATAAAGTATAAGCGTTATAATAACAAATATCGTAATAGGGAGGCAGGAGTATTCCGGAATGTTGAAAATTAGAGATCGTGGTGCGACAAATAAAAGTTGGTTGATCGACCCCAGAGTGTCCTCCGTAGATGGCTCTATCGAAAGGATACGGAGGTGCTGCCCACTCTGCAGAGGGAGCTATCAGCATCTGAACTTTGGTAAACTTTGAACTTGTACTATTTGTAAGTCCATTTGTGACGTAACATGAAGTAAAGTTCTGAGGAAAGAGTATTTGTGCAAAGGACAGTGTCAATCTAAAAAATTTACGACTACAATCAAGAGCACGAGATGCGCTGATGAGAAATCCTCGTGAAACTTGAATTTCTTCATCCTCTGTCCAGTAAGCTGAAACTGATGAAAGATCAATTAAAAAATGTCAGTGATAAAAGATGACTAGAATCGAAAAAATGAAAAAGAGCATCTCATATTTACCTCCTGGTTTCGATGATGATATACTTTTACCAGTTCGGTTATTTACTTTTTGACAAGTGCCTGATTGGCATGAGTAGGATGTAGAGAGACAGTCTGATGGAGCTGAACAATTGGCATCCAAAAATCCGTAGCAGAAATTATTGCCCTGGAAAAACTCTGGCGGACAACTAAAATCATCAAAGCGGCTGTACATTGGAGGCTCGTAATCTTCAACTGTTTCGAAAGTCGTAGATTCATTGGTCTTGCAGTGTCCTTCGTCGAAATAGGTACCAATGAGGTAAGTGCAACCTTTGGCAGAATCAACGGGATCATTGAGATCTAGATGAAAAAAATAGCGTTAGTTTTGATATTGATGATTTAAATAATAGGATAATACCTAAGGGGATCTTGTAGCAGTGGTTGTCGTCGAGATAATAGTTCTCTAAACATACACACATCCTGTTGAAATAGGTCGTGTTTGCGAGGTGATCACAAGCCCTGGGGTGGTTCACTAATTGGTAAGGTTCTGAAAAATTTCAACAACTGTAGTGTAAAATCAATGAGTTTTTCCCTTATATTTTATTGGTTAAGATAATAGAGTACACAGAAAAGAAAACTTCTTGTGCCAAGAAAATTTTAAGGAAGACAAAAGTTATTTTGGAGCAAGAAGAAATTTTCTTGGCCAAGAAACTCTGACTTCATTCAAGAAATTTTCAATTTTCCTTAATATTTTCTTAAGCCAAGAAAGTTATTCAGGAAAGGTCTCTTATAATTTATCGATAAATTGCATTTTTTAAACGTTATTTAAGGTCAAAGTTCAACTTATGTAAAATTTTGGGGTTGTTTAACTTTTTCAGCAAATCTATCTAAGTCATTTCAAAATTTTATTACTAATACTTTTTGAAATAATGTCAATAAAATTGTAACATCAGTTTTTCCAAAAAAAAACCTTGTTTAAGGGCTTTTTTATTGATTTAAAAAGTTTATTAAGTTATTCAAATAAAAAAAATAAGTTTTTTTTTTAATTTTTTCGAGTTCGCTGATGTCAAAGATATAATTTGATAGATTTTTGTTGTAGCTTGCAACATTTGAAGCCAATCTTAAGACCTGTAAACTTAACTTAATTGCAAAAAACTCTTTAAAAATATATGAAAGCTATTCATTTACTGTAAGAGATCAGAAAAAATAATTATAGTGCAAAAATATGAAGTTTGATAAGATAAATTAATACTTATGATGCTTATATCGATAAACAGTATCTAAATCAGGTTTTTTTTTCGACAAAACTGATGTAATGATGTTATGGAGATAATCTTAGAACTTTAGAAAGATCAAAGAAGATTATTTGGTGCAAAATTTTGAAATTAGTCGGATAAATTTACCAATTAAAAATTCTTAAATTTCTTATAAGTTGAACTTTAACCTTAAGTAACTTTTAAAGAATTTAATTTATCCGAAAATTATAAGAGACTTTTTTTGTATAAAGATCAATTCTTTATAAAAATAATCTCTTGTCTAACTACTCTAATAAGCCGTTGAATAATTATAAAACCAATAAATATTTATATTAAGGGCTTTGCTGTAAATAAGAATCTGCCCTCATCCTCCTAAAAGTATTTCACTATGTTTTAAATGAAAAAAAAAAAAATAGTCAATTTTTTTTAACTCTTCTAGTAAGTGTGCAAGAGTTATATTACGCTCATTATCCTATTAAATTTTAAATTTTGTTTTCATTTATCAAAAAAATAAAAAATATTTCGTTGATATTTTGTATAAGATGTCTTTAAAGAATAATTAATATCAAAATTTATCGATATTTTTTTTTTTTAATACAAATATCTATTAAACATAGTTATCTTACTTTTTGGGAATCTGTAGCAAAGCTCTCTTGCTAGATAGAATCCTTCTCGACAACGCAAGTTCGTTCTTTCCAACGAATCATTTGTAATAGTATTGTGAGTTCTGAAATAATTTTTATTATTTTAATTACAAAAAATTATAAATTACCGCCCACGAATAGGTTTGCATTAAATTGAAAGATAGTTCAATTTAATGATTAAACGAGCTTACCTGTAAGTGAAGTTCAATCATAATTGTATGGAGCGCCTCTTCCGAAGAGATCAAGTTGTAGTACCTCTAAAATGTGCCTTCGTCACCACAATTTTTCAAAGTATAAAATAGAAAAAGTTGTCTCTGCGCATGACCTGCGCCGCCATGACACTTCATTCTTTTGAAAGTTGTGCCGTAACAAAAAAAAGGGGTTCTTACTCATCTCGAAAGATAGTAAGAAAAGGGAATTTTGTTAGGGGGGAGTTTGATTCATTATTTGAACCTGTTTGAGCTGCTGGTTTGATCTTCTTGACAGTTGATTCCAAAAATAAAGTACATTTTTTTTATTTAACACTATTATTAATTTATATTTATTGAAATTTTTAACACTATTCTTACTTTAAATTTATTAAAATTTATTTTCTATTTTTTAGTTTGGTTTTCTATAAAAAGCGTGTTTTTAGTTTTTCTGCCCTCGGGCCGGAAAGTGGCAACTTTCTGGCCACTGCGCTAAACAAAGTTGCCACATTCCGGCTACGTCGAGCAGAAAAATAGTATACACACCTCTGTTCAACTACTGGTCCCATTTTTAGAAGTGTTCAAGTACTGGGTACTTTACCTTATCAATATTTTTAAAAAAATTTTTTATGACATCATAAGCGCTTGCAGGGTGCTATTTCAAATCTTTCAACTTTAAAAATATTTTCAGGCATTCAATTTTCAAAATTATAATTTTATAGTGATAAAAGCTGTATCGAATGTCGAAAATGATGGTCGGATTATAAATAATTATTGTATGTAGGAAGCATACCGAAGCTTTTACTTACCCTGATAGCCAGCGCTTTCTCAGTAAGTGTTGACTTCCAGCAGTTACGGTTAATCTATACATCAAGTTGGCGGTAATTCTTCACTCAACAACAGTTGTAAGCAAATTGACGGAAATCTACGGCCGCAACTTGGATACAAGTTAACAATCAAACTTGTAGTTAAGTTTACTTTCATCTTTACTACAATTTGACGGAAATACTTGTACAGCAAGTTTTGACGTCAATTTGCAGAGTAAGTTATAGGTAACTAATAGGTAATCGCTCGCTTTGCCAACTCTTTCCGTCAAGCTTGCTTCAAATTGCGGACGTAGATTGACAGTAAGTTATAGATAAGGTGGCTATCAGGGTAGAAAGTCTTTGAAGTGGTGGCGGATAAAATAAATCTCGGCAGATCAAGTCGAAATCTACTTGACAAAAAGTCGGTAATTATGAAGAGTAGAGGATGAGCCGTATGGTATAATGTAAAATATAATGCAGATAATGAAAATGAAGAATATATGTTGTTCTCCGAAGCTAATTTAGAGCAGAATAATTGTGTGTGCAGCGTAGTGGATCAACGATGAAATATTGTTGCAAACAAATTAGTAGTTTGAAACTGCTGGAGGATATTATGTATAAGCTCAATTGTAATATTCACCAGAACATTATAAATCACAGGAACATCTCGTAAACACCCAAAGTTTATTTTAAATTTTTAAATTACCGTTGCTTTGGTAATGTATTATAAGAAAAAGTTTACGCGATAAATAACAATGAATTATGGAGATTTCAAATAGACTGACTATTTTTAACAGTCAGGTTATAAGAATTACTCCTCATTTTTCCAAGATCTTGTTCATTTTATTTTTATTCGACCGCTCTATTTTACAGCAGAGAAATTTTAGAGCAGAAAAATTTCACCATATCCTAGATTATAGATTCACTACTTACACGGAAATTTATTTAGATTAAGAAAATTTACTGCAGTTTTATTTACAAAAAATCTGCATGCAAAAGTACGGGCCACCTGCTGAGTATATAATTAGAGCTAAACAATAGAGTACTCTATAGCCTGGAATATATACCAGCTGTTTTTTATAAGCACGGAAATGGACCCACTGCTGAAAATCACAATCTTATTGATTTTACGTCGAGCTATTTTTCTAAGCTTCCGATCTAATCGAATATGGAAATGCTTAATTCGATGACCTGAATACCTAGTGGTTAAGCGGGAAAAAATAACTCTTAATAGGTTTGTAGATATTCTATTCATTAGTACGCGGTAAACAATTTCAGTATTTAATAAAAATCTTCTTATTTTTAAAAGATTGACATTTATTGAATAGAAACATTATCGCAAGAAATTACATGTAAATTTGAAAGAAAAATAAAATTTTTTATTTAATATCAATGGGTTTGAGTTATTGTAACTTAAACAGTGGAAGTAAAAGAAAATCTGAAAAAGCGCAGATATCACTGGGTATAATCCAAGACTAATGAGTATAATTCAAATTTTACAGTATACAATCTCGGATTATATCCAGTGGAATATTACGGGGTATACTCTGAGATTTTACTGGGGGAAATGGGAATTTAGAATGAGTATAATTCAGATATCACTAAGTATAATCTGGATTATACTAGCTATACTAGCTACTATCTGAAATTTCTTTTCACTACAGATGTCACTGAGTATAATCTGGAATGTTATCCAGTGTAATCTTGTTCTTTCCGTATATGTGAAAAAAAAATTTTTTTTTAATTTTTTGGCAACATCTCTTGAACAAATCAACTGATTGAGATGCAATATTCGAGAATTAAAGTTTTTTTTTAGCTTAAGAGCTAATAAAAATTTGAAATTGGTTTTGAATTTAGTCAAAAAAATTTTTTTTCTTTTTCATTTTATTCTTGAAATTTATCGAAACTTATTATTGAATTAAATCTTGAGTTAAAAAGGAAACGAGAATAAATTTAATTCCCATCGAGACATTCAGGTTAAATTTTTAATAAAGTCAAATCAGTTTAATATAATCAATTTAATAATCGACTGAGAAATAAAAATTGTTCAAGCATAAAAAAATTTTAACTCAAATACAAATTTAATTATCAACGAAATAATTTTTTTGCCTTATTCAATCCTTTGCATAAAAGTGAATAAATTATCTCTAGTATATCTAAGTGATAATCTTTTCCTCAACAATATATTATGGAATTGTATATTAATACTGTTTAGAGTTGAACTGTAAAAATATATTTCACATCTAATTTTTTTTCAAAATTGAGTTTATTTATTTTAGCGGATAGACAAGGTAATAAATCTTTAAATTTTATAACTCTATCATTCCCACACATTTAATATTACTGAAAATTTATTTCTTCTGAAATTTTCGTCTGGTAGAATGATTAATTTCAGTTCTTTTGTCGTAGATTACTAAAACATGGGTCACACATAAAATTAAAATATTTAAAAAAATTATAGCACGAAGCAATCAACATTGTTACGATATTTTTAACACCGAATTTATTGGCTTAAGCTATTTGACGTTTTTTGTTTTTTCAGCAATCGAAAGAGTTTATCAAGCCTGAGATCTCAAGACCACAATTAGATCAATTGATTGCGGCTAGTTTCCAAGGTATTCGAGAAACAACAAGTGATAAGCAACAAAAAACAACTTCTGCCAACAATTGATTAGCTTAACTTAATTTTTGAAGACCTATTAGACGAAATAAAATTAGCGAAAAATCAATAGTAAATAGATAATTATAAAATCTTTTACTCAAGTTTCAGTATCATTCAGTATACAGTAAGCAATATTGATTGCTATAAAACTGTAACGCAATTCCTGTGTAACGATCTCATGAATTATTTATTTTTGGAGAAAGTATTGCTCAAATCAAATTCTTAATGATGCTAAATTTCTCCGGTTGATTTAGCTTCTAATGAACCTACTGCTTCCGCAAACTATTAATACTATACTTAAGTACTAAGGGCAACCCTAAGTACTACTACTACGTCACTCCAAGGAGAAGATGGTTCAAAATTCAGATCACGATAATTATTTACAGAATTGTAAAAGATTCAACGGATCAATACTGACTCCAGACTGTGAGAAACTTTATGTTAAAAAAATTTTTTTTTAATTTTAATTAAAATAAAAAGTAATTTTATTTATTGAAAAAATTTTGATTAATAAATTCGAGAAAAGTTTATTTATAGTATAAATTTTATACTAATTAGTTTACTAGCAAGCTTAAAAATATAAGAATTGTTTTAGGACAACTTTGTTCGATTTTTGATTTAATATATTATTTACTCTACTTTTCTCAATTTTTATAAAAAAATCTGAACAGTACTTTTTGTAAAATAAAATGAAAACTGTAATTTCTCATAAGACTTAATGTTTAATCTTAAAACATTGAAAGCTCAAATTTTTCTTACAAGTTCTCTTGAGTTTTTCAAAAATTAAGAGGACTTATTATCTAACTACAATTTAATAATCTACAAATTTCATAAAATTCTGAACGGCAATTATCACAAAAAAACTTAAGAAAAACTTTTTAGTACTTAAAATACAAAAATACAATTTCAATTGAATTTTGAATATTAAACTATTAGAGCTATTTTTTTACTGGTACACTTCAGTAAAAATTAATAGTACTTTTCTATATATTTTTTGATTAAATTTGTGAATTATTATTTAAAAAATTGTACTTAGATCCAAAATTCCAGAATGTATTACGAATATTCCCAAAAAAAATTTCTTTACGAGTACCAACTTTAGCTATAGAAACAAATTGCACGGAAAAAAAATTTCTTTGACACTCTTGATTTGTTCCAAATGTTAACCAACGAAAAAAACACGCGATAATTCAATGTGGTTGAATATTGATAGTAAATTATGCAAATAGCATTAAAAACATGAATATTTAATAATTGTTGATCTCAAAAATGAATAATAATTCAATCAATCGATAGGTTAGTTAATAAATAATGTAATTGATGAATAGTAATTAAATGAAATTAATGAATGATTTATTAAATTTGATAATGTAGATTGAGTAATGAGAAGCGAACGCCATCTGGGATCATAAATAAACCGTAGAGTTTATAGGAGCGTAAAAAGGCCTCGCTGGAATAGAATCAGTATGTTTAAATTTAATGATCTGCATACACGAATTATAGAATTAGTACAAGTGGATAAATATTGTTTTATATTAGCGTGCTGTTGCTTTTTAATTTTGATCAATGTATTCATGTTTTCGCGAGCAATTAAATATTAATTTGAAGTTTGTGTTCTATTATCGTGGATAAATTCATATTTTCGATGAAAGATCTAACGAAAAATAAATTACAGATGGAATTAAATAAAGTTATTTTGAATGTTGGTGGCACGAGGCATGAGACTTATAAATCTACACTTAAAAAAATACCAGCTACTCGATTATCGCGGCTAACAGAAGCACTTGTTAATTATGATTCAAATTTAAATGAATATTTCTTCGACAGGCATCCCGGCGTGTTTAATCAAGTCCTTAATTATTATCGTACCGGCAAGCTTCATTATCCCAGTGATGTTTGTGGTCCATTATTTGAAGAGGAACTTGAATTCTGGGGTCTCGACTCTAATCAGGTATTTCTTTGTTAATTCAAAGCTTGTGATGATGAAATTTTATTTTAAAGTTTCGGTGTCTAATTTTTGCTTCGTTCTTTAAACAATTTTTGGGGAATTCAGACTTTTCATTTTGAAAAAATAGTTTTTTTAATTCAGCTTTTCTAAAAAAAGTGAAAGTGAAATTTCGGAAAAGATTTTTTGTCATTCAAAATTTTAGAATGTGAAAATTTATTGTAGACAATTGTAATCATTTTTAAAAAATTTCGTGAAAACATGTTTTTATTTTGAATCACAAATTTGGAAAAACAATCTAAAAGTTAAATGTGGGAATCAAATTTAAATTTTGTGATCGGTGTTATATGATCAATTAATTAAAATTTAAAGTTGAAAAAAAAAGTTTTTGTGAAAACTTTCAAATTTAACAAAAAAATCATAAATCCAAATTTTAAAAAAAGAAAAATTGCTTGACAACTTTATTTCATCACAAAAAAAAACGTTTTTTTGCTTTAATTATAGAAAATTTTTACTGAATTTTTTTTTTTTTGAGAAAACCAACAATTCAAATAAAAAAAAAGTTTAAATCATTGTTTTTTTTATGAAATTTCATTGAGTAAAAACTCATATCATGTTCCAACTTATATGATTAGAAAATTGAAAAAATTCACTAAAAATACTGTCAAAAAATTTTTTTCAAAAACGTTGCTGCTTATTACTATTCAATTACTGTTATTAAACTAAAAAAATTCATTTGAACTTGACAACTCGGATAAAGCATCCTTTTAAACGTCCCCCCTTACGAGGCGTGCAATTTGTAGTCTGATCACATAACAACAACCTTATTTAAAATTCAGCGATAAAACTCTGAAAAGCAATTTATACTCGAAACAAAACAAAATTAAAAAGTTAAGCTGTTGAATAAAAACAAGTAGGATTAAAATAATTTATCTAACTTGAAAAGTTTCTCATACATTATAAAAAGCTTAAGGAGTCGTATAACCGATAAAGTACATCTCGTATGTTAGACTGGGACTCCATCTCATTCTATCGAATTTCATTTTGTTTATTTTTTTAGTTGAGTATAGCCAGGCTAGTTTATTTTTCAACTCGACTAGACTTTTACTCCACACTTCTTTGAGAATTCGTGCCAGAACTTGGTACAATATTCTTTGCCACTCGGTTTTTCTATTCTCATTCTTCGCCTCTGCATGTGATCTCTCACCTATACCCCCCTCTAACATTATATGTATACTACCATATAGTACTATAGTACAGTGTAGTATACGTATATCCATAAACGAGAAAGTTTATCGTAGAAGAGCACAAGAGCAAGACGCGTTAAAGCGCGACGGATGTGCCAACACAACAAAAGTTTCGACCAAACTTGACAATTCACCCGATCCAATATTACTGATAGTGATAACTCAACCCACTATCATCTTACTGTTGTACTTATGCTCATTTCTTTGCAATAATAAAAATATCTAGGACGTAATATCTTCCCAATCTTTTGTACTGGGTAAAATCGTCGATTTAAAGGTGTCAGAGTGTAAATGGTATGCGGGTACTGAGAAATTTTAATATTAACAATAATTAAGCAATCAAGTATTGAATATGTGGATTTTAATAGAATTTTAGTTGGACTGGAAATAAAAAAAGCCATAAAGTTTTAAATTTCTAGTAGACAGGAAAAAAATTAACTTGGATCAAGAAAATAATTTTGAAAAACTTTATTGTCTTGATTTGAATAAAAAAATTCTTAAACTCAGAAATTTTTTTTGGTTAAAGAAAATTTTCTCCTCTTCGGGCGTAAAGCGTCAACTTTAGCCCCGCTGCGCTAAAAGTTGTCGCTTTTCGCCTCTGTCGAGGAGAAAAATAGTACACACGATGGGCAGTAAATAAGAAAGCCTCAGATCACATGTTTGTTGACATAGGCTTCGCCTCGGCCAACAACCCTAGTAGAAATGAAATCGAGTTTTTGGCTAGTAACTGGCCAGTTCGACTAGACTTAGGATATTAAGGAATTACCTGTGATCTGAGACATTTCTTACTTTACAGCTCTACATGGAGAGAAATTTATAGGAACCTTTCCAAAAATTATGGAAATGGTTCCTATAATATTATAGAAATGGTTCCTACACTCCGCGACAAAAGTATAACCCACCCCCCTAATTTTTTCATATCTGATAAAGAATTATAGTTATATTAATATATTACTTATACACAAAATTTGGGTGTTAGTAAGTTTATTATACTATCAATACATTATTTATTAAATGCATAATTAACCAAATACAAATGCTATTGGGTTTTGCAGTGCGACAAAAGTATAACCCAGGTAATCAAATTTAAATAAAAATTCGAGAAAAATATAACAAACAATAATCATTCATGTAATCTAATATTTAGTAGATCCACCACTTTTACTTATCACCTCAATCATTCGGTCCGGTAAACTGTCATATAGCTTTTTAATTACGTCTTGATTTATATTTTGCCACTCGTCAACTATGACCTTTTTTAACTTTTCAACAGAAGTAAATTGTCTTGATCCACGATAGACAGCTGGTGATAAATTTCCCCAACAATTTTCAATTATGTTCAAGTCAGGAGAATATGCTGGCCATTCAAGAACTTGAATATTTTTTTCACTAAAGTAGTCTCTAACTACCTTTGCTCGATGGATACTGGCATTATCTTGTTGAAAAATAATATTAGGACCAGCAATTCGCACTGCGTGAGAGTTAATTTGCTCGTTTATTACTTCTATATATCGTTTACTAGTTATTTTTCCAGAACAGAACTTAATATCCATTTTACCTAAGTATCCAATGCCAGACCATACCATTACACTACCACCTCCGGCTTGCCGACGGCTCAATATAAAATGATCTTTTCTTAAATCGTGAAAATAGTAATTAAAACCATCAGGTCCATCCAAATTAAACTTCTTTTCATCAGAAAAAATAACTTTTCGCCACTTTTTTTTTCCATTGAACGTGATCTTTTGCAAATTGTAATCTAACTAGTTTATGTTTAGTAGACAACGGTGGTTTTTTTGGTAATTTCTTACGTTTTAAATGCTCACACTCACGTATAATGCGTTGAACGTTTCTTAAATTAGTACTAACACCAGCCTCCGCTGCGATTTGTCTTGCGGTAAGCGTAGAATTTGACGCAACTCTTAGAATTGACCTTCTTTCTCGTGGTGTAGTTGCTCTCGGTCGACCTGTCCGTTTTTTCTTACCATAGTTGTCGGGATCTTTTAAAAAATTTCGCACAACACGATGACTTCTGTTGATGATTTTTGCGATTTTGACCTTAGAATAATTTTCAGAATGCAATTTTTTAATTATATTAATTTCAGTTTCGTTTAAGTGTTTTCCCCGTGGCATTTTAAATAAAAAATAGACAAATATTAACTTAAACAATTTATTTATGCGTAAGAACTTACGAGTTACACGAAACAAGTATAAACATGAATTGACATGTCCAGTGCACCGAGCTGCTTGAGCCAATGAGACGAATGGGTTATACTTTTGTCGCGCTATCAAACCAATAACTTCGCCGCTGCGTAACAAAGCAGCATCGAAACGTAACTATATATATACCATAGTACTAGAATCAAGAAAACAATGCTGGCGCGTTAGGAATTTATTTACTTGTATTTAGTTTTACAGTAAATATAAAAAAATTCGAGGGGTGGGTTATACTATTGTCGCGGAGTGTATAATATTATGGGAATGACGCACATAATAATAGAAAAATGTTTATGTTCATAATAATGGAGCAATGACATCAAAAATATAAAGTAATTATTATATATTTTTTTGCTAATAAATTTTTTTTGTAAATAAAAATTCATCTTTCACTAGAGTGAAAAAATTTCTTTTTCATAATTTTTATTCACGTGTTTACTTAATCTTAAATTGTTTATTCCAACTCAGTTATTATTGTGTTAGATAATATTGAAAAATATTGTAGCAATTCTAAAGTTTCTCTAATAAAAGGGATATTTTCTCACTATACAATTAGAGGAGCAAGGTAGATATGGAAATTCATTGTTTATTTTTACAATTTCATTTTATTTTTAAAACAAATTATTTATTTACAGTACATACGTTGAATATTTATTAAATCCACCTTTTGGGTATGTAACTTTTATTATTTATATAAACAATATTACTTATTTTACATATTTCAAATGATGTTATTGGGAAGCAAGTAAAATTATCGAAATTACTAATAATTTCAAATGCTTTAAAGTGGTCATCGAAGTCATAAATAATTTGAGTTGTAATGATAAATATCTCAATATTATTAGGCATCATCACTTTAATATTATGAGAATGGTTCCCATAATATTATAGGAATGGTTCAAATGATTTAATAATTAATTTATCAATGGAAAGATTAATCAACTATTGATTATAAAGCTGATAAATTAGTTAGAAATTTATCAGTTGTTCGAGAAAAAAAATTTGAAATGCTCGAAAATGAATGAAAATTTATAAAGATTTTGTGCTTCTATTTTACAGAAAAATTTAATCTAATTAAAGTTTTTGCGTACTATTCCTCATAATAATTCAAAACAATCTTCAGTATTTTTTTTAATATGTTTTGATATAGTCTCGAGATCAAAATCAGACTTTTTTTGACACGTCAAGCCAAATTTAGTCTATTTTTATCATCCAGATGTTTAGAGTCAAAATTTTTTCAAGCATAAAAATAAATCTTATCTCCTGTTTTTGTGATAATAGTATTTCAATAAAGTTTTAATCAAAAACAGTAGAAAATTTTGATTAAAGTTCCACAACAAATTAATCTTTTTGTTTAGTTTTATTATAAACAATATAAATAACATAGATGTTTAACTCTCTCACCTACGAGTCATTCAGACTGAAAACAAATCAAAAATTCTTCAAATAGTACATGAAAAGAAATTTTCTTAATAAATTACTATGAAAATGATATAGTAATCGTAAGACATGTAGCATTCTCTGATCTAATTAAAAATTTTTTGAATAATCAGTCACAAAGACAAGATGAACGGTATAGAAAATTTCTATTGATTTTCACTGTGTTATAGCGGTAGAAAATATAATCCTTTAAATTAAAATACATGATAGTCTTGAAGTTAGTCAAAGGTCGAAACTCGCAAAAAAACGGGCCACGATTCATTATTGGTTAAAATTTAGGCGCGCGCGTAGCGCGCTATTCAAATTTCTAGTAAAAGTAAAAAATAAATGAGATCAATAACTATTATTTACTATTTTAATATTAAAAATAAAATTTTTCACTGAAACTATTGCATAATATACTAGTCTCTAGTAAATATAAATCCAAGTAACGGTATTATCTACCCTTGTGGAAAAAAGTGAAATGATTCTTATAAAACATGCACAAATGCATGTCTAGAATCCGATAGATCTATGAGATTTTTATATAGATTCTATGCATACATTTGTCGATGTTTTATAAGAATTTCTTTACTTCTTCCCATAGGGACCGACTTTGATGCAGTGCTGTCATCGCTCTTGATTTCTCCAGCTGTACAAAAAATTACACATATTAGTTATCAATTGTTGCTGAGTTACAGTTAATTCTAACAAAGTTTTATATAATTTTTATTCTCATAAAATTTTATGCAACTAGTTGAAAATTATGTGTAAGAATGTACTTTAATGACATTAATTTTTTTTTATTTTTTTTTTTTTTTCAACCATAAGCTGTTACTCTACATTTATTATAAAATGAAACAACCTTAAAAAATAAATTAAATTAAGTAAACATTTAATCTTATTGAATTGAAATTTAGTTTTTTTTTTTTTTTTTTTTTTTTTAATAAATAGATAATTTTTCATGATTTCAGTCCGATAATTTTTTTTATGAATTTAACAGTAAATTTTCAAGAAAATTTCGTTCCGTATAGATTAAAAGTAATAAAATTTTCTAAAAGGTTTATTTGCAGATCAACAAACTCCAAATCCACGCTATTCAAGCATAAGCATACATTTTATGACTTGGTTAATAAATCTATATCAAAACTGGCTAGAATCAATTTTACTAAAAATCTGACAACAAAGCATCCCAAAAAAGAGAAAAACCCAAGGAGGGAAATGAAATCCATTTTTTCTCCGAAAAATAGCTAAAATAAAATAAATGTTCCAGGTTGAGCCGTGCTGCTGGAGCACTTACAGCACTTACAAGGACACAAAGGCGACCCTTGCGATTCTCGACAAGCTCGACGTGGAGGGTATGAAGCTGTCCGAGCAAGAAATAGCACATTTGTTCGGATATGAGGAAGAGTACGCGCGTGGAACGTTAACACGATGGCAACGTCTAAAGCCACGTATTTGGGCAGTGGTAGACGAGCCTTATTCATCAACATTTGCCAAATATATTGCCTGTTTATCCATCCTCTTCATCTGTCTCTCAGTCCTATCATTCTGCCTGAAAACAAATCACGGGGGCAGTAATCCACGGGCGTCTTCCGCTCGTAAAGCATTTTATTACATCGAGCACGTTTGCAATGCCTGGTTTGCTCTGGAAATCATCATCAGGTGTCTCGTAAGTTTATTTTTGCTCATCCGTTCGGTCTCATCCCACATTTCTCATCTTTCATCTGATCCATTGTGGATTTTACGTTTAACACCGCGTACCAGTCCACCAGTTGGAGCCCCGCCAGTACACGCCGTTAAATTAATCGTAATGACCACTGAGCGCTCTGTAATTTTTAATGACTTTTTTAGGTCAGTCCCAGCCTCAAACGGTTCGTCGTATCCCCGGTTAATGTAATCGATATGGCAGCGACACTCAGCTTTTACACCGAGCTTTTCATGACCAAATCAAACATTTACCTAGAAGTCCTTTCGATTGTCCGCGTGCTCAGGCTCTTTAAATTAACCAGGCACTCACCAGGACTGAGGATTCTTATCCATACTTTCAAGGCTTCTGCAAAGGAATTGGGACTTTTGGTCTACTTTCTTGTTCTGGGGATCGTTGTTTTTGCCAGTCTCATTTTTTACGCTGAACGATTGCAGGTAATTTTTTTTTCTCTTATCAATAAAATTTAATGTTTAATTTATCGGAAAAATTAGCGGACCGCACGGAAAAAAATTAACTTTCAATATTTTCACTTTCATATTTTTACACTTAAAAATTTACGATGTTACATCGAAAAAAATGCGTATAAAAATAGCCAATATAAGAATTTTTACGATTTTAAATCATAAGTTTGGGAAATTCAAAAATGCACGCCTCATAACGCCTCATAACGCCCATTCTAAAAAGGCAAAAAAATAAATAAATCGTATAATTAATTTTTAAAAGAAAAAAAAATTAAGTAATTTCTTACAGAGTATTTTCTAATTTTTTTTTTTTTTAATTATTGGTGCCTATTTTTCTTTATGATATGCGCACGCAGTTTAAAAAAATGTAGTAATAATAAGACTGCTTGATTTCATTTTAACTTAATGAAGTGGCAAAGAGAAATAAGAAAAGTTTTTTTGTTTTTATAAGTGTGCATCATAGTGAATTTTAATAAAAACTCATAAAAAAAAAAACTATACGTAAGCTAGGCTACTGACATGAAATACGGCACTAGTTCATCAAATTCTGGAACTAATAAAAAAAGTCCTGTCTCGATATATCAATTTTTTCGGGAGTTATCATTGGTACGTACAAATCAGCGTACCGACATCAGAATGTCCACGAATAATTTTTATCGAAACGATTTTTTTTTTTTTAAATTAGCAACATAAAACGATTTTTAGAAAGTATAAGATGGTTTAAATTTAAGTGTTTTCTTGATGTACATCTACTCAAATTATGGTATAAGTGTAATATGTTTGTGATAGAGGCATTTGAAGATCACAAAAGTGCTTGACCTTGATGTATCGAACGTAAAGCACTACCTCAACCGTTTCGCGTTAGGAGGCGTGCAAAATGTAAGATCATGAAAGTGAAGATATTGAAAATCTGGTCTTAGATTACGATGTGACAATTATAATTTTTTCTACAATCTTTTTCCGTACATAAAGTTTAATAATCATTGCATACAATGCAAGTACAGTGGCATATTTATATAATTTACTAAAAAACGTATACATAGCTTAAAGATTTGATAACACATTTAAAAATAATATTATTTTGGTTCAAATTAAAAATAATTTTAGAATCTTCAATATCTGTTCAAAAAAATAGGATTTGTGATATAGTATTTCAAAATTATTTTAAGACAAAGCCCTAGAATTAATTTTTTGAAATATTTTTCCAAATTTAATAAGTCAAGAAGTTTGAAAAAATATTCGTTAGAATTTAAAGACATATACATCAAATTTGAGTTATTTTTCGGCTGAAAAGTTTTTTCAAAATAGACTGAAATGTGACTTTTATGAAAATAGAATAATTTTAAGTACTATACTTTTAAACTAATTGACTGATGTCGTTAATTTTTTAATTGAATTAAAGTATTTGTACACAAAGTTTCATTGAGATCGATTGAGAATTGTGGGTACAATTCATTAGACGTAGATGTGAAAAATTAATAAGAAAATAAAAAAAAAAAATCCATTTATTTTGTCGCGGTTGCTTTGTCATCGGACAGTTTATTGTGTTATTGAAAAAAAGTTTTAGCGTGAAAGAGAATTTAAGCGTCAGAAGTAATAATAAAAACTAAAACAATGTAATATTTTGTGAGCTGTCAATATGTGAGTAAATAAATACGGGTTGCTAAATGTGTATATATGTTTAAAAGTATATGTAAGGCGACTTTGGTATTCCAATATAGGAAAATCCGTCGAACGACTTCAATAGTATACCAGAGGGACTATGGTGGGCACTAGTAACCATGACGACAGTTGGCTACGGTGACGTTACACCCAAGACATTTCCTGGGATGTTCGTCGGCGGACTGTGTGCTCTTGCCGGGGTATTGACTATTGCCCTACCGGTGCCCATTATCGTCAGCAATTTTTCTATGTTCTACTCACACAGCCAGGCACGCAGTAAATTACCCAAGCAGAGAAGAAAAATTCTACCCGCGGAAATACCTCGGCGACGTAGTCAGAGGCTCAATCAGCTCAAGATCAACGACCATTTCGAGACTTCTTTTGGTGACGGCACTGACCAGGTAATCATTTACTCTTCTTATTGATAACCCAATTATTTTCCGATCCCTCTTTTTCCCCATCTGTAATCTAAGGGACGAAACCATGTGTACGATATTTGAGAATTGTTTTTTATCTTGTAGGTCATTTATATTCTTTAGACCCAAAAATTTACAAATGGTTTGGTAAATCCAAATGAGTATTATGCCTTAAGCGCTCGTGACAGACCCAAATTAATCAAAGTAAAAATTAAATATATAACAAATTTTCACTAATAAGTTAAGTTAAATTATTAAATTCAATGCTATTATCAATTTTTTAGTAATTTTATGGGGCATTTCATGTCAAATCGACCAATAGTTGAAATCGACCCCTTTCGATTTGGACAAATTTTGGTCAGAAGTTTTCTTTTATCATATAACGAAGATCTGCCAATGGAAAAAAAATAAAAAAATTTTTTTCAAAAGATATGCAAACTCAAAATTTCGCGATTTTTCCAGTTTTTCAATTTTGTTTTTGTAATATCTCGAACGCTACTATAGATACAGGAATGGTCTTTCGTTTGTTTAAAAAGGCACATTTGGAGCTATTGAAAAAAAAATATTTTGGGGCAAAATTTTGAAAAATGCCAAAATTCGTCAAATTTTGAAATTTTGAAAATCCTCAAAAATGACGGTCGACAGTAAATTTTTGACTCAAATTTTCTTGTGTACTACCTTGTACCAATCTTAAAACATACTGAAGTTTTTGGAACTGTGTTTTTTGTTTTTTCAAAAATATGAATTTTTGAACTTGGTTAAAAAAAAATTTTTTTTCGCAAATTTTTTTTTTGATTTTTATCGTAATTGAGTTTGGTAAATCGCGTAATTTTGATATTTTGAACAGTTGAAATTTCATTTAGTGGCATAATGATCAGAAAAAATACATTTTAAGAAAATTTTTTTTTTTTAACAAATTTCAAAAATTCATCTTTCTGAAAAAACAAAAAACAATGTTCCAAAAATTTCGGGATCTTTTAAGATTGGTACAAGGTAGTACATCAAAAAATTTGAGCAAAAAATTTATTGCCGACCGTCATTTTTGACGATTTTCAAAAATTCAAAATTTTACAAATTTGGCATTTTTCAAAATTTTTTCTCATAATATTTTTTTTCAATAGCTCCAAGTGTCCCCTTTCAAACAAACGAAAGATCGTTCCTGTATCTATACTAGCGTTCGAGATATTACAAAAACAAAATTGAAAAACTGGAAAAATCGTGAAATTTTGAGTTTGCATATCTTTTGAAAAAAATTTTTTTATTTTTTTTCCTTTGGCAGAACTTTGTTATATAATAAAAGAAAACTTCTGACCAAAATTCGTCCAAATTAAAAGGGGTCAATTCCAACTATTGGTCGATTTGACATGGAATAATCCTTATATCAAACATCAACACAAAAAAATAAATATCTACTATAAATTACAAAAATGACTTGAAAAAAAATTTTGATAATAATTTAATTACAAATTAATTGCAAGGCATTAGTTCTACTTTCAATTGAATCCTAAATTTTTCCGAGGATAGAATTTTTTTTATATGAACGGAACGCCCTCTTTTGTTCTGATAACTAATTAAACTAATTCGTAAAAACAATACCAATCAAAGTTTGTATTACCGGCAGTCAACCAGCGAAACAATTGAGTAACAATAGTATCAGCTGTCTTTTCAAATTTTTATAAATGGCAGGTTCAGAAGACAGTTAATTTTTCCAATTGCCAGTCGAAAATTATTAATTATAATTGAAAAAAAAAAAAAATAAGCTGCTATTGTCATTCCAGAACTTCCTGTTTAGCAGATGAGATAGAAAAAAATAAACTTGAAAAATCTACACCATAAGTCATAAAATTTTAAAAATTTTTGAAGTAATAATCCTTAATAGAATCAAAACATTCGAAAACAATAACAAAATTCTTATTAGCGAACAATTTGGCTTTAGAGAACAGCGTAGCACTGTCCACCAACTTGCCCGCATAACAGACTATATTAGTATTAATTTTAATCTCAATAAATCTACAGCAATGACACTTCTAGATATGGAGAAAGCCTTTGATACCGTTTGGCACAATGGTCTAATCTATAAATTAATAACGCTTGAATTCCCAACGTACATTATCAAACTTCTAAACTCCTACCTCTTAAATATAAATTTTAGAGTAAATTTTAACCATACGCTATCTAAACAACAAACTTCTGTAGCTGGTGTACCACAAGGCTCCATCCTTGGTCCCACCCTTTTTCTATATTACATAAACGATATACCAAAAAATGAAAAAACCAACACAGCACTGTTTGCTGATGACACCGCTATCTATGTCGCCTCATGGAATAAGAAACAAGCAATTAAGCATCTCCAAGAAAGCTTAGACAATATAGCAAGTTATTTTGAAAAATGGAAACTCAAATTAAACAATACTAAGACTGAACTTATAATATTTAGTAAAAAAGTCAAACTTAAAAAGTCAGAAAAAGAGCTTGAAATTAAATTAAATGACACTGTTATAGACCCTACTAAATGTGTCAAGTACTTAGGATTATTACTAGATGATAAACTAACTTTTACTAGTCACATAAAAAAAGCATGCCAAAAAGCAAATCAAATCAAAGGTATCCTTTACCCTCTGATTTCGTCCAAAAGTAAGTTGAGTATTAAAAACAAACTTATATTATATAAAATGATAATAAAACCTGTACTACTATATGGCTCCCCAATATGGAGTAATACCTTTAAGTCTAACATTAAGCAAATTAAGACTGTTGAAAACAAAATATTAAGAATGTTAAGTAATGTAAGTCAAGACGTCTCAAATAAAACAATCAGAGATAATCTGCAAATAAACGAATTATATAATGACATATATACTCAAACAAAAAATTTTTATGAGCAACGAACAAAACATTTATTAGAATTAAAAAACATTGGCATATATAATAAAATTAATGCACCTTTCAAACTTAAGTACAAACTACCACATAGTTTACTCTTAAATTAATTTAAAAATCAATATAACCTTGTAAATATTGTATATTTTGTAAATTTTAGTCTTAAGTTTTAGATTGTAAGCTAAATCAAATGGTTTTTTAAATTTTTCCATGACATCTAAGCATATCATTTATAAGCAATACACTAACACAACCTGTAAACCAAACATTTGTTTAAGTCTAAGGATAGGAACAACTATTAAAATAACAAAACTCATGTAATACCACCATGTAATTCAAATACATAAATAAAAGATATTTTTTAAACTAAAACTAAAACTAAACTTATGGGGATTAGGTTATTTTCATATGTTAAGTTTATTTTTTTTCAACAAATAAAGCTTATTAATATTCCTTATTGAATAAAAAAATAAAACTTTAAACACGTAAACAAAATTTTTAATTTTTTTCAAAAACTAATAGCGAGTAAAAACAAACAGTTGAATTTTTTGCATAAAGTTTCGTCATTCTAGCTCAAGAAGAAAATATTTTATTATTTGTGTATCTATTTGATGACTTATACTCTTTTTTTCCGTAAATTACATTGATTTTGTTGAGACAAATTCTTTGTTAAATTCATTATTTCACGATCTTTAATTGCATTTTAATGATATTATACAAGGATGAAGTCCTTTACTCACAAATTTAATAATATATGATGATTTCGAGCTTTGAGTAGACTAAATTTGAAAATCCTTTTTACTTGAGACTTCTGAGAAATTATTTCTGCATTATGAACATCGTCATCATAAATACTAAATGTCTCTTAATTGAAATATAACAGTATGAATGGAATAATTACGTTTCTAAGATAAGTTTCTATTAACTTTTAAACAAGCGCTAAAATTTTATTTGATAATAGTGTATTACAGAAACAGAACATTTATTTGACTTTATGTATCATGCATAAAGTATAAATATTTAAAAATTATTTTATCAAGTTTTTTCATCTACTTTTTGGAATTCGCTTGATAGAGTTATGTCCAAAGCCGTAGTTTTTTTTTTTTTTTTTGATTGGCAGAAGCGTTGTCTATTAAATAAATGATGAATTTTTAAAATTTTGTTGTTTCTTACAAAATTCATTAGAAAAAAATGAAATGCAGAATATCTAATCAGAATTTTTATTTTTCGACAGTCAATTATATCCCGAGCAAACGAAGAGGAGAAATGCGAGGTCTAAGTTTTATTGAGTGAATGCAGCCAAACATTTCAGTATTTTTCCTGTACCGAATTTCAAAGTATCAAAGAGAACAAGTGATGCGTCTCTTTGTAGCGTATGAGAATGAAGTATAAAAAGGGAAACGTAGAAAGGAAGACGAGGAAGCGAGATGGATAAACCCAGAGGGTTCTAAATAAAGAATCGCTCAAGGATTCAATTGTTTCCTATCCTAGAGACATTCTAGATATATGATAAAAAGAGTTAAGCAAAAAAGGAAAAAAATAGCCTGGCTGGAAGAAGAAAAAGGAGAGGGAACTGAGTAAAGAAGAATTGACTGACAAATTCCGTGGTGGATTTCTGCGTCTTTACCCCTTGGATTCGAGAAATGTTAACGCAAGAAGCCACGTAAAAAAGATTTCACTCACCCTGTCACCCTCGTGTCTATTTGCGGATAAAAGATCCTAGAGATGTTTGCAAGCCGATATCCTTTTTAGTTTAATACTTTTTGTATTTATTTTTCTCAAAGTAAAGTTCTATTCTATCCCAGTTCAATTTCCAAAGAATTGCATTCTACTCGTTGCATTTAAATTTATTTTTGTTTTTATTGGTTAAAAATATTTTTTAATACCGTGACCAGGGATCAAGATTTGATAAACTTGTAGATCCAGTTGATTAATAAATTTTAATTTTAATTAATTTGTAACTTAATTTATTGTTTAAATAAAATTTTTTATAATATAAAAATTTATTATTGTCATCATCATTATCATTGTCATGGAAATCTATTCATGCTTGGTTTAGAAGTAAATTTTTAATCCAATATAATTTAATTCTGAAACCAAACATATTTTCTTCGGATGAATAAAAATTTTAATTCCAGATGGCGTGTTCGCAAACAATGGCAGTATTACTCATAACACTGGTCATTTTGCACGCCTCATAGCGCGAAGCGCGTGAGGTTGTGCTTTATACTCGACTCGTCAAGGTCAAGCAATTTTGTGATTTTTAAATGCCTCTATCACAACCATATTACACTTATACAATAATATAAGTAGATGTACACCGAAAAAAAAAAAAACTTAAATTAAACCATCTTTTACTTTCAAAAATCATTTCATTTTGCTATTTTGAAAAAAAAAAAAAACGTTTTGAAAAAAATTTTACGTGGACGTCCGGAGTCACCCCATTTTGGATGTACCAACGATTACTCCCGAAAAAATTGATATTTCAAGACCGGACCTTTTTTATTAGTTTAAGAATTCGATTAACTGGGTCCGTATTTCATATCAGTGGCCTAGTTTACGTATTTTTTTTTTAAATTAAATTTTTATTAAAATTCACTACGATATAACCGTACAAAGCCAAACGAACTTTTCTTATTGGTCACGTGAAAACTATGGCGCCACTTGATCAAGCTAGATTTTTTTAGACTGCGTGCGCATATGACAAGAAAAAAGAGTGCCGATATTTAAAAAAAAAATACTCTGTAAGAAATTACTTAATTATAATTTTTTTTTTATCAATGACACAATTAATTTTTTTCTTAAAAAATGAATGAGCGTTGTGAGGCGTGCACTTTTGGATTTTCCAAACTTTTTTTTTGTAAATTATAAGTTTACATTCTTTATGTCAGAAGACGATTTTTGCAATTAATTATTATTATAATGCAGAAATAAATGCAATTTTTATTAGAACGAAATCCAATATAATTAATAACTACTGGGTTTTAGAGATTGATCGAACGAACGTATCTAATTGAAGATTTTGATTTACTAGATCCACTCTTATAATTTAGATGAAAAGTATGAAAATATATCATGTAAGAGCAAACTATTCGTAACGTGATTGGTCAAATATATCATAAGCATGAAAATATAGATAATTCCATACTAACATTCACACGCGCGCTTGCGCGCGCAACATATACTAGTAACCTAAAAGTGCACTGATAAAAAAATAAACTTGACTCAAGAGCCAAAATCTTAACCCATCAAAAATACCATTTTGAAGAAAATGATTTTCTTCTTTCAAGAATTTATTTCTCTTGACTCAAGAAAATCATTTTCTTCAAAATGGTATTTTTGGTTTAAAATTTTGGCTCTTGAATTAAGTTAATTTTTTTATCCGTGTGTCTGTCGTTGATAATTTTTTGATAAAATATATAAAACAATTTTGTTTGTTATAATTGAAAAATTGTTTATTAAATATAATAATCCTGACATTATCACAGAAAAATTATTTATATAAGAAAAATAATCTTACAGTGTATAATTGTAACAACATGGAATCTCTAATATTTGTAAACATAAATGTTGATAAATAAAAAAATGTGTTTAACTTTATAACAAGATTTGATGTGAGTATTGTAGAAATTCACTGGATAATAATTAAAAAATGTATAAATATATTTTTGAACTAAGTAAAGTAATAACTTGATTGGATCAATGTGAATTCGTTGAAAGAAATTGGTATCATCTTGAATCAATTTTACCGGCCTAAAACCAAGAGAAAAAATTACTAGGGGAAAAATGGATACGTACTTTGTTTGAACACAATGAATTACTCGATTAAAGGATAAAATTCTTGAATAGATATTTTTTTTTATCTCCATCCAAGAGTTATAATTTATTCATTCAAATGAAACTTTTTCTTTGATCAAGGAATGTAAATATTTTGAAACAATATTGAAATTTTGAAATTATGCAAATCAATGTCTTTATGAATTCCAACATTAATTGACTTCACATTATGATAATAGTTATCTGTATTATTATTATTCTTGTGGAAAATTCAATATCTTCTCATATGAGTAAACATAACATACTAATTAACGATGATTTCCAAGATATCCATGCATATGAAATGTGAACGTATACATGAATACGAAATGAAATTGCAAGTTTCGGGTCCTCTCAGTAAAAGCCAAATAATTACCCAAACGTTAATCCACAAATGGAGTGATTACAATTATAAATAACAAGATAATGACAGTAATTGATATTAAAAAACATATGTGTCTATCAACTGTGTAATATAATGAAAGTGCGGGCGAAATAAAATAAAACAGTAAGCGGGGTGAAAGAAGACGGTCTGTGATGGTATGGTTGTCATTAACTACATGACGCTGTCGTCGACGGCGCAAGCGTCGCATCGACCAGCCACTACGTCACTCACTGAAGTATCCGGCTCTGAATTTGCCACTCTGGGCTATACTGCTCGAGCGAAAAAGCATCATCTGGCTGGCTCCTGGCGTTGACAATAAGAGTAACTGAGACGGAAATATACACCGGTGCACATATATGTGCCTCAAGAAAAATGTGGATTATGATTATGATTATCATCATGATGCAGCATAAAAAACTTAGAAATGTCTTTTGAAGTAAGCTGACATGCAACAAGAGTTAAGTTTTTCTATTATGCTCCTTTTCATATCTTTTGTCTTGTCAATTCAATTGTACCTCGGGTATCAAGTACCATTATAATTCTTATTGTTATTATCATTATCATTTTTATCGTAACTTATAAATTAGTGAATTACAATGGTGGGTAAAACGGTCCGCCGGAAAAATTAATTAATGAAATGGAACTTTTTTAATGGAGTAAATAAAAAGCATGCTGTTTCTAGGAAAATGCACGAAGCATGAACAGATGTTTATAGTGGATTAAAAAGTTTCATTTTCTAAAAATTTGAGACACGAGTTCCCAAAGTTCTATATGGAGTCCTTGATTGCACTTTCTTCGAAAAAGGTCAGTTTAAAGTTTGAGTCAAATAAACACGTGAAATTATTTACTCCTTGGTATTCCAATCTTCTGTTGCAGAATTCAGGGATTTTCGTGTAAATTCGGTGCGTATTCAAAGTATCTGGAATTCAAAGACAATCTTGTAAATAACTTTAGTTTCACGGTGTACTTAGTGTGTAAATTAATACAATTTAACAAATTTAATTATTACAAATCAATACAATTTTTTAACAAATATAAATAATGCTGTGAAGCGGGAAAGAATAGGAGTTACGGATAATTATTACGTGAAGCGTTCCAACATTCACGTAACAGGATAATTGGTAGGAAAGGATTGAGAAAGGATTGTGGAGAGGATCATCTCAATGTGAGTTTATAGAATATGCGAGAAAAAATTATTAGATAGCTCGGACTGGGATTCGAACCCAGAACCTTCCGAAGACATGTCGGCTACTCTACCATTTGAGCTATCCGGTCTATACTAAATTTCCTTTCACTTATTCTATATACATTAAGCCACACCGTCCATCCTTTACACCTTAAAGTCGAAAGATAAAACACATTTTGTATAATTTCAAAGCGAGATTTTTGAAGCGTGTACTTTTGAATTCACTAATTTTAGCATGCTTTAAGCGTGAGCACGGAAGTGTTCTCAAATAGCGCTTTTAAGATTTTGCCCTATAAATTGTAGCTGACAGTCCTATTGTACTTATAAACTACACAAAGAAAAACAATGTTAAGAAGAAAATTAATACTGAACTTATAATAATTTTTTTTTAATCGATTAGTTGCTATTTTTCCGTAAAAAATTGGTTTTGATGGCTTATAGTGTGGATTAATCAAGTCTTTATAAACGAGTTAACACAATAATTTTTGAAGCTGGCAGTTGGAGAAATTTTTTGTTTTTTGAGCAGCCAAATATAAAAATTTTTTTCTAAATGCAGTTTGAAAATACCTGAAACTAGACTCAATTGTTTTGCTTGTTGATTATCGGTAATACTCTTCAATAGGTTCATTTTTAAGATTTAATTCTTATGGAAAAAATACTATTCGCTGAAAAATTTTCCTGAGCCTTGGAATTGAATTGTAAATAAAATTAATTTCTTATAATTCATTTGTAATTTACTTGTTTGATATAAAATTACTTTGATCAATTTACGTATGACATGACCGCTTAAAGCTTGCATATTTGGACTTACCTATTTTTGGAGGATTGTTTTCAACAAATTTTAGAACGAACCAAATGAAAATTGCAGCCAAACTTTTTTCATTAGTTTCCA